GTCCTTCTTCTCCTTCTTCTGGCCTCCTCGGACGAGATTGTCGTTGTGGACGTTCTTTTTGTCCTTCTTCTCCTTCTTGCGGCCTCCCTGGACGAGATTGTCGGTGTGGACGTTCTTGTTGTCCTTCTTCTCTTTCTTCCGGCCTCCCAGGACGAGGTTGTCGTTGTGGACGTTCCTGTTGTCTTTCTTCTCCTTCTTCCGGTCTCCAAGGACGAGGTTGTCGTTGTGGACGTTCTTGTTGTCCTTCTTTTCCTTCTTCCGGCCTCAAAGGACGAGGTTGTTGGTGTGGACCTTGTTGTTGTTCCCTCTCTCTCTGCCACTGAGGTTTCTGCCCCTCCGTCTCCTCCCCCTCTCCTTCTTCAGTCTGTCCCGGCCGCCATGGATGGCGAGGGTCGGGAAGACGTGGGTCCCGTTCAGCTGCTTCTTCCTTCTCCCCATGCCGCTCCCTCTTCGGCCTGCAACGAGCAGGGCAGTCAAAAGACCTGGAAGCATCACTTTGAAAGACACAATTTTTCACACAGACTCGGTATTCCGAGTTCTCATCATCTTCCCAGTGGGCAAGGCCAACGGAGGCCACTGCCAGGAAAACAGAACCCAGAAGCAATAGAACAGGAAGCCTGGCTTTGAAACAACCCATGATTGATCACAAAAACCGAACGATGTTTTCTGAAATGGAGAGGAAGATGAAGTGGGTATTTATAGAGAGCAATCTGGGGGTTGTAATGGTGTGAGTGAGGGGAAGGTGGAGGATCATGAGGTCTGGTTTTAATGCATGGAGGACATTTGGGGCTTAGAGAGTCATGCAGCTTGACGAGTGTTGTTTCAGAAAGAAACAGAGAAATGTTCTGCAGAGAACATTATCATCATCAGGTGGGGACGATGATGGTCTGTGAGTGAAAAGGAAGTTTTGGACACCTACATGGATGAAGAGTACACGCGTGAGTTTGCATGTACTTGAGGTTGAAGCCTGTAAATGTGGACGAAAGAGAATTTGGATCTTATCAGAGGGGCAAGGTAAAAGTCGAGAGATTGAAGACGATGGTGAACCAGGACGGTATATAGTACATAGTTCTTTAGTTTTGATTTGTCTTTTCGTGTATACACATATTCATTTATATATATACACATATATTGTTACATTGTTATGGAAGAGAGAAGAGAGGCAATTGATCCTCGATAGGTAGGGTTTGTTATCGTCTGATGTAAATAAATTAATTTAATGATGTTGGGAATTTTTAAATTACCCGACACATTCATTGGTTTCTTACACTGTGATGACCCAGTCATAAATGAATATTCTTGATCTGTTAGTCTGTTACTGCTGGGTGAACATTTATTCTTTTAATAATGAGACAGTTGGAGTTCAGATTGGTTAATTGAATGGATGGGCAAGCTCATAAGTTTTTGTTTTTTTTTTGTTTTCCATATCTATAGATATATTTTTAGTTGATACAATTTTTAGCCCCTTAATTTTTTTTTTAAAAAAATTCTGGTCTCAGTGCCTCAATTTTATACTATGACTTTTCTATTCTTTTTGTTTTTAAATTAAAGGGACAAGTGCTAATAGTCTAAGGTTATAAACATGATTAAACTCACGACCTCTCACTTGCAAGGAAGCTTGCATACCACTGAACTATAATGCTATTGGCAAACTATGGCTTTTCTACTGTGCAGTTTGTATATTGCATAACAAGAAAAATTGGAAATTAAATTAAAAAAGAGAGAGAAGAAAATCAAAGCATTCTTCACAAATTAAATCAAACCCTCGATGTTAAGTTAAATTGTTCACTAAATAACAAGTTAAAAGTAAGTTTTCAGCTAAAAAATGGAACAAGCCTATTTAAGCCCTAAAAATGTCGAGAGATCGTTTTGAAAAGAATATCATTTTGGGCTAATATGGATCCTTAGCCTGCCAAGGCCGTTAAACATATTTTTACCTTTCTTAACTTTTTTTTGTGTGTATATAGTGAATATTTTATGTAAATAGCAAAAATTTGGAATAGTTGAACTGTGGTGTAAGTGACATTAATATGATGTAAATGATAATTAGATTTTTATAGATAATAAATTTTGATTATATAAGAAAGTTAAAACCATAGTAGATTATTTAATTATTTCCTTTAAGTGGGTGCATTTGAAAGGAGAGTCATATTTAATTTTTTTTCACTCAAAATTTTCTTATATAAAAAATCGCTTTTAGTGTGTGACTGTGTGTGAGTGAGAGAGCATGCTTCCGTTTCGCCCTTTTAGGATAGGATTGGGAATTGAAAAACTGAGTCTTGTACAAAAGGTTCTTTTTGCCCGGCCCTAATTCTTACCACTATGTCCACATTTAACACCCTTTAGTATCTTAAATAGAATTGTCTTCAATAGGACGATACTTGTACTTTAAGGCAAAAAAAAAAAAATCTTATCTCTATTTTTGGCCTCACATAGGCCTTGTTTGGTATGAATTATTTAGAGGTAAGAATCAACAAACTAGGATTGAGGAAAACCATGAGGGGGGAATTATGTTTAAAATGGGGATTGTTAACTTGTTACTTAGGATTGAATCAACAAACTGATATGGGTGAAATTGAGGAAAACCATGAGGGGTGATGTTATTGAAAATTTAATCATAGGATTCGGATTTTTCAGACTAAAATGCCCTCCTTTCCCTCAAAACAAGAAGGTGTTTTTTTTTTTAAAAAGGAAAAGTCTCAAAAAAATTACTTCTAAAATTTCAAATGTCTAAATTAAAAAATGACTAAAAAATGTGTTATTATTTGCTTTTCAAATATTGTCAATTTTTATTAAAGTATAATAAATAAGATTGATTTGGGATTCCAAATGTATTTTATTTGGGGATCCTCCCTTTTTTTAATAACAAAGTTGTTATAATCTTTTCAATTTATAATTAATTTAAATATAAAATTAATGCAATCATTCCTTCCAAATATTACTCCATACCAAATATAATTTTGAAAATCAATCTCATTCTTAATCCCTCTTCCAAACCTAATCCATTCTCATCCCCAATCAATTAAGGGGGTATTTGTCAACATAGAAAAATGTTCTTAAGAAGTACTTTTATACAAAACGGCATAAATTCCTTCATATATTTATTTTGTATTTTATAAAAACACTTTTAAAACTATGATTTTGTTTCTATTCAAACGCCCCCTAATATCGAGAACCACGTATGTACCAAGCAAAGCCATCTAGTTCTTCCAAGGACCCTATATATTGATATGTAATAACCACATGCCAAACATAGCTTCGGGATTGGATGGTTACAGCGTTTGACGCCTAACCATAACATCCCAGTTCGATGAAATCAAAAGGTTTCAAGACTAATGAATATGTTTATGACCCATTTAAATAAATTTGCTTATTTTTTTGTTTTTAATTGTTAATTAAAATATATAATTAAATTCGGATTTAATTTATTTTTAGATATCACATTTATTGTGAGATTGCTAATTTAAGGGGAAGAAAGGAACCAAGAAAAAGTTTCTTAAAATACGGGAAATCACATCTTCTTAATATATATGCATAGTCAATCTGACCTTACAAACTGGGGCACCTCCATCAGTTGTTCTTGCCCAGTGCCCAGCCGTAGACTTTCATGGCTCTTTCTCTTTATGATCTCGAAGTTTTGACCTAGATCCAATTACAAATTTGACCCAATACACTGTTATGAGCAACCATAGCCCAACCTCGGATGGGCCAACAAATGCAAGATCAAGTATTGGGGCCAACCAAGGCGTAACACGCGGGTGAGAAAGAGCACATGGAAATTGCGTGAGCTGGAGGATGGCACATCAGAATAAAAGCAATGTCAGGACGTTAGAGAAGGGGGTGCATTGTTGAAGAATCTTCTCTATGGCGTATTCTCTCTCTCTGAACCGATCTTCCGCTATTTTCCTGCATTGTTGAATTTTCTGTTGCATTGTATTTGCTTTGGCTATATTCGACTGATATATTAAGTTGATTTCAATACATATATCTTTTGATTTCGCATTCGCATTTGTTTATTGCTCAGGTCATTCCATTCTTGGTGCTTCCGTCAAGAGACCTCTAGAGTGTACGGAATGGCCTATAATACGCGTTTGAAAGAACTGCGGAATGATATGAAAAAGATGAATGACTTTACAGAGAGTATCAAGGGGCAACTCGAACGAATTGATGAACGGTTTGATTAGATTGATGGTAGATTCAATCAAATAGAAGGACGTTTCAATCAGTTCGAGGCAATGCTACAGTCGGTAGTCAAGGCAATGACCGGTTTATCATCGCATGCTAAAGCAGCGCGGAGGCCTATTTCTCAGGGATGTCAGAATAGCCCATCAATTATGGCACATCGTACCACAAGACGCTGAAGTTGGATTTCTCGAGGTTCGATGGCCATGATGCACTTGACTGGTTATACAGAGCATAATAGTATTTCAAATACTTTGGTGTGTCAAACCACAATGACTAGTGATCGCTTTTGTACACATAGATGGTGACGTTCTACCATGGTACCAAATGTTGGAAAAGTAGGCGGAGTGCCAGATTGGGCAGCCCTGGCAAAGGTAGTCAAAATTCATTATGGGCCATCTAAGTTTGACTGTGCTGGATCGCAATCATTTAAGCTCACCCAAGCAGGGGTTGGCAGTGTATTGGAGGCGTATAACTCTAAGTTCATGACTCTGGCTAATAGAACAGAAGACATACTGGAGGCAGCATTGCTAGATTGTTACTTGGGTGGTTTAAATCTGGATACGAAGAGGAGCATCTTGGTTCAACGTCCTTCAAATGTTTTAAGTGCAATGGCATTAGCACGTTCATTCATTGACACAACCAGCTCACGTGTATCTGTTCCTGCCACTGAATCCAAATCTCGATTTAACACCTCGCTAGGTGCAATGATTTCACTAAAGGCCATAGTGGCATGTTCAGGGTCCAACACCAAAGTGAGCACTATGTAGACTAGTGGTGGTAAAGCTAATTTGCCTCCTTTATTGCCTAAACCTAATATGCCGCTAGTTAAGAGGATGATAGCAGTAGAGATGCAAGTCAGACGAGAGAAGGGCCTTTGCTACACATGTGATGCAAAAATTTTGCCGGCTCATCGGTGCCCTAATAGACAACTGATGATGCTTCTTAATGAAGATGACAAGGACATCCCTTTCATAGAAGAGGTCGAGATTAAAGAACCAGAGGTGACACTACATCATTTATCTTTGCACGCCCTAAGAGGCACACAGGGGCCTACCACTATCCAGTTTAATGGAGAGATTCAAGGAACGAAGGTGCAGATTCTGTTGGATGGGGGAAGCTCTGACAATAATTTTCTACACCCCAGGATTGTTCAACATTTAAAAATTCTAGTAGAACTCACACCTGAGGTTAAGGTTCTGGGAGGGATCGGACGTATTTTGACTCACTCTAAATTGGTGAATGACACCCCATGCAAATTAATGGGCATATTTTACACATGTCTTGCTTTGTTTTACCTGTGGTCGGAGTTGACATGGTAATTGGTGCTGACTGGTTAGAGACACTTGGTCCACACGTGGTGGACTATAGCACTTCCACTATCAAATTTCTACTAGGGGACACATTCATAACATTAAAAGGATTCAGAGGGCCCTCTGTGAGTCAAGCACAATCTCACCATCTAATTAGACTAACTAATACAGAAGCCATTACAGAGTTATGCATGCTACAACCAGTACTAGAAGAACCCCCCAAAAGCGATACCAGATGACATGAAGGAGGTGATAGCAAAATATGGCAACATATTTACGATACCATGGGCTCCCACCTGAATAGTGCCATGAGCATAGTATTGACTTACTCCCTTGGATCAGACCCTATAAAAGTATGAAGATACCGCTATCCAGTGAGCCAGAAAGATGAGATTGAGAAGATGGTTGATGAATTGCTATTCGAAGGACTAATTCAACCAAACGTCAGCCCATTCTTGACTTCGATCATACTAGTCAAAAAAGAAGATAGCACTTGGCATTTTTGTGTTGATTACCGTGCTCTAAATTCAGTCACTGTGAAGGACACGTTCCCTATGCCCACTATTGATGAGCTATTGGATGAACTTTATGGGTCAATTTTTTATTCCAAACTTGATCTACGATCTAGGTATCACTAAATTCTGATGAAAGCAACAGACAGGGAGAAAACGACGTTTAAAACCCACCTCGGCCGCTAAGAACAGCTAGTCATGCCCTTTGATTTAACTAATGCGCCGGCCACCTTTCAGGCATTAATGAACACCATATTCTGACCATCCCTCCGTCAATTTTTTCTGATATTCTTTGATAATATACTCATTTATGGTGATTCATGGGAATCACATTTATAATATGTGGAGTTAGTCTTGCAATCTTTGGCTCAAAATCAGTTATTTGCTAAGTTGAGCAAGTGTTCCTTCAGTCGTTGGCGGATAGAATATTTAGGACATATTATTTCTCAGGCTGGGGTTGAGATGGATGGGTCGAAGATCAAACCTGTACAGAACTAGCCCCCTCCAACAAACATACGGCAATTGAGAGGGTTCTTGGGGCTCAGTGGGTATTAATTACTGCAAGTTTGTCCAACATTATGCTAAGATTGCTAGCCCATTAACTGATTTGTTGAAGACTGATGCATTTAACTGGTCCAATGAGACCCAAAGTGCATTCGATAACCTAAATCGCGCCCTTACTTCGTCTCCTGTCCTTGCATTGCTGAATTTCGTTAAGACTTTTGTGCTAGAGACTGATGCATTTGGTGCTGCGATTGGGGTAGTTTTGAGTCAGGATGATCATTCTATGGCCTTCTTTTCTAAGAAATTGTCACCTTGAATGCAAAAGCAATTGGCTTATGTCTGAGAATTATATGCAATTACAAAGGTAATTGCCGAATTTCGTCATTATTTTTTTGGTTGACACTTCATCATTCGCATAGACCATGTGAGCTTGAAACATCTTTGCAAGCAAACAATTTAGACCCCAGAACAGGAACTCAGTCTACCAAAGTTATTAGGCTATCAGTTTAGCATGAATACAAACCTGGGTGCCCAAATCAAGCTGTACGTAGATGCTTTATCCCGTCATACTTGCTTCGCTATCTCACAATTGGAACACACCTTTCCGTATTCAATCTATAGCCAGTTGCCTAATTCTGCATGGTTGGCAAATATGAAGGCGCGAATTTCACAACAATCTGATGCATTACCCTACTATAATCTAAAACATCAAGAGTTGTATTGGAAGGATCATCTTGTGATTCCACTTGACGTGCCTAATATTATCACCCAGATCTTACAAGAATTTTATTCTTCCAAAGTGGGATGACGTGCAGGGTTCCTGCGCACTTTCCATCGCATTGCTTCTCTATTTTTCTGGCCTCAAATGTGAAAAGATATTAAGCAGTGCTGTGTGTGTCAACAAGCTAAGGCCTCCCACTTACACCCAGTCGAGTTTATCTACTACCGATTCTGAACAATATATGGGAAGACATCGCTATAGATTTTGTGACTGGTTTACCAGTGGTACGTGGGTACTCTATAATTTTTGTGGTTATCGATCGCCTCTCAAAATATTCCCATTTCATGTTCATGCCATTGACGGCTAATTATTCTAGTCAAAATATTGTGGAGAGTTTTCTTGTTAATGTTACGAAACTTCACAGCATCCCGTGTACCATTGTTTTAGATCGTGATCATTCTTTTACGGCAGCTTTCTGGAGGCACTTAATGAAATTACAAGGAATACATTTGAACATGAGCTCGGCATATTACCCACAAACTGATGGTCAATTAGAGGTTCTAAACAAGTGTTTAGAGATGTACATACGGTGCTTTGTGTTTGACTACCCACGGAGCTGGTTGGCTTATCTGCCTTGGGCTGAATTCTGGTACAACATGTCCTTCCCTACTACAATTGGAATGGTATCCTTTAAAGTGCTTTATGGTCGGGATCCTCCTCCATTACTATGCCATTCGTCAGCAGATGATACACCGTATGATGTCCATCATCAACTAGAATAGCGTGATAAACTGTTACGGGTTCTCAAGGTGAATTTATAAGAAGGCATAGGCTCGTATGAAGCGTTTCACCCATAAAAAAAGACGGGAGGTAGAATTTTCTGTTGGCGACTAGGTCTTGGTCAAACTCCAGCCATATCATCAATAGTCTGTTCAATTGAGAAAAATTCAAAGGCTAGCCTTGCAATTTTTCAGACCCTTTGAAGTAGCGGAACGTATCGGCAAAGTTGCTTATCATTTACATTGGCCACCTCATTCACGAATCCATCCTATGTTTCACGTTTCCCTCCTCAAAAAGTTCAAAGGTGCTGTTGATCAAGGTTCTTATCTGCCTCTCCCGTTAACATCGGTGACTGAATGGCCTATTAGTCAACCACTGGAGGTCCTACAATCACGATTAGTTAAGAATCACGGTCAGTGGACACCATAATACTTGGTCCAATGGGATGGTTCTACATCACCTTCTTGGAATGGGGTTATAATCTACAACAGAGGTATCTTGATTTGAACCTTGCCGACAAGGTTCGTTTTAAAGAGGGAGGTAATGTAATAAGCAACTGTAGCCCAACCTCGGATGGGCCAACAAATGCAAGATCAAGTACTGGGGACTCATCCCAAGTCCAACTAAGGCGTAACACGCGGGTGAGAAAGAGCACATGGAAATTGTGAGCCGGAGGATGGCACATCAGCATAAAAGCAGTGTCAGGACGTTAGAGAAGGGGGTGCATGGTTGAAGAATCTTCTCTCTCTCTAGATGGATCTTCCGCTATTTCCCTGCATTGCTGAATTTTCTGTTGCATTGTATTTGCTTTGGCTGTATTCGACTGATATATTAAGTTGATTTCAATACATATATCTTTCGATTTCGCATTGATATCTATTTATTGCTCCGGTCATTCCATACGCTTTTGGTTTTTCTCGCTATTCTTATATATTTTTTGACAGTTTAAGTTTATTTTGCATACATACTGATGGTTTCTGGGCTTCCATCAAACAAATATGAATTCACCAATCGAATTTACTGATAATTAGCAGTTTGGAGTCTTTTATATAGCATGTTTGATTTTGAGTTGGTTTCTATGAAAATATTATTCTCTTTGGTTAGCTCACAACTATGTTCAAAACCACGCCCGTTTTAAACGTTCCAATCAAATTTAATGCAAAATCAAGCGTGATTTCATTGAATGAGATATTTTGGACCACATAAATATAGGACAAATAACAAAGGTACAACTTCATTTTTCACGGTCATTTCTGACAACTTCATAGTTTACTAAGTACGAACATCTATACACACACACACACACATCGCTGTGCTAACTGCCCATTCACGCCCTCCAATACTGCCTTTGGGTTTGCGAACCTGGCTGGCCACTACTAGTTGTTTCTTTCTTGATTATATATTTGTTGTCTTAATATATAGTCGTATAATACAAATCTAATCTGATAAGCTGATATATTCTCACTCAGCTCAGCAACATGTATATAAGCGTGGCGAATGAAGTATACGTATTGTGTGTGTCGTATATGTACTCTAATTTGCAAGTTCCTAGGACTCAGTATCAACAACGATGAAGACATTTGACCCTTTTTGATTAAGAATCAATACACACACAGACATATCCATGGGCTCATGGCGAGGCCAACATTATTGTCTTATGTAAAATACAAATAATACCCCTCATGTTCTTAATATAGGATCTAATTGTTAAGTTGATTTTAGTGTTAAATATAAGACCTATTTCTCATATTTATCAGTTTTTCCTAAATTACCTCTATAAATACTCCCTCAACCATAATCAAGTAAAAGAGGGAGAGAGGATATTAAGGAAGATGATTATGATAGACATGTTATATTTCTTATTATTAACTAACTCATCTAACTTTCTTAATCTAACTAAATTAGTTAAATAGGTCTTCTATTAAAGACTGAAAGAGCATATAATATGTTGATTGAGCATAGAATCGAATACTGCAATCTGAATCAGGACCCCGTCTGAATTATTCGAGTTTTTTTTTTTTTTTAATTTAACAAGTGAAAGAGAGATAAGATGACCAGAAACACAGAAGCGTTATCCTCGTGAGGTCTAATTAAAACCATCGTAAACGGACATGGTCATGTACGAGTCCTCAAAAGTAGGTTTCGTTGTCTTCTAATCTTCGTAAAGACTAATTACGAGGCTTTTGTTTGTAATTAGAGCTTTTACCTTCTACTATGCCGTAAACTATTGCTAGGTACTCCTGTTTAATTTCCACATTATTCATGGTTTCAACGCCTTATTATATAGTACTACCTCCAGTTTTAATTATAAAATCTTATTTGTAGTCTACAAACAAGATCTTATAATTAAAAAGATATATGGGGTAATTCTAATTCTCACTTATCTTTATTTAATTTAACTTCGACACTATATTTTGACAAAGTTTTGTGGCGTTATCAATAAATTGTCCTTTTTTTTTTTTTGTTTCACCTTAAATGGTCAGAGTATCCTCATAGAGGTTTCTGGTATTACTGGGGTCCCTTGTCTCTTATAATCATTAAGTTGCATATGAAGTCACAAATAAAAGATAGAATATACGCACAGATTGCTAGTACTTCTCTCTACTTATTATTGTTTGGTCCTTAGGAGTTTTTTTTTTAATAAAGTATTCTCAAATTATTTTGTGTCTAAAAATAATGTTTGTTAGACGGGAGCGTTAACATTAAAATCCTCCCAACATCCTCCCAATATGTGTGTTTTTCGGAATTCCAATTTTTGTTCTCTTCTTTATTGTTTATTGATGTGAGACTACTTATCATTTTAATCAATAGCTTATCGGTTTGGTATTTGAAGTTAACCCGTGAGTTACTTTGAACATATTTAAAAAAAATAGAAGCCATCAATGGAGACAAAGGAGGAGGTAGTTGAAGAAAAAATCCACCGCCTCATTTATTCATAATATTGCAGATATTGATACATACGTAGTACTCGTTCCTCATATGGGATAAGTCCTTATGTGCCTTAATAGGCAAACATACAGGACTTGATGATGCGTTTATTTATTCATTATTTATTACATAGGCCAACTTCACTTCTCACTCACTCACATGAAAGCCGTCAAGATTGAAGACCAAGCAACCTTACCAGTTTGGCTGGGCGACCTGCCTCCCCCACTTGGTTGCTCCTCACGATCCACGAAGAACGACTCTCTCTGTCGATTCAACAGCCTCTCCACTTGTTCGCCGGACCCTTCAAACGCCGCTTCCTTCACCTCTCTGTCCAACTCATTCAGCACATTCTGACTCTTGCCTTCATCCACATACATATCAACCATATATTAACTCTTGCGTCACGGTAATTAAGAGCTTATGTATGTGTGTCTATAAAATATATATATATATATATATGTTACCTGCGAGGAAGCTCCTGAAGTTGTAGGGGGCATTAAGTACGAACTCGACGACCTCCAAGTTGCTGTTCCTTGAGGCTCTGACAGCTACAGGATGACCTGCCGGAACTATGAAAAAATCACCCTTCGATAGTCTTGCTGCTAACCTCTTAAATTGTCCTTCTCTATGCTCTTGTCCTTCTCCTTCTCCTTCCCGCTGCCTCTGCTGTCGAATCGCTCTGCATCCACAATCTCCCTCCTGTGCCTCGGGATTCGCTAAATGTGGGCACGCCATTTCAGTGTCTCCTTGTCCCTCAGCAACGAAGGCCAGTATTATCGCTCTTGTGTTGTAGTGAGGCAGAAACATTGATCCCTGCCCAACAAGAATCAACAAAACAACTCATCATCATTACCAAAATTCATGAAACCTTATATATGTTGTTCTCAATTGGTTGAGTTATATGTATGTGTCTATACCTCGTTGAGTCTTAGGTGGGAGACACCGATGCCAAGGTCTTGAAGAGCTTCGAAGCGTTGAGGGTGAGCCTCACGTAAGGTGCCATGGTTGTTGGAGTAGCGAGGCTGAATGTTTTTCAAGTTGAAAGGACCTAATGGTGAACTCTTCTCTTCCCTTCTTTGCCTTGATTGGGCACGGCTGATCAGTGATCTCAATTGTTCCCTCGGCAATTTCACTATCACTCCTTCTTCTGAACCCTGTTGTCCTTGTTGTTGCTGCTGCTCTGTTCCCCAAAATGCCTGCTCAATCTCCTCGTACGAGGCCTATTTCATATCAACAATACGACGTTAATAAATCAGAATACAATGAGAAACTCATAAACAACAATATAGATGATGCTTACGTTGAAGGCGGCCTGGAGAGTCTTCCTGTTGAAGGCTTTGAGGTAAGAATTGGGAATTTGATTGCCAGAGGGGTAGAAGTTCTACACACAAGGTCAGGGCCGGACAAAACAATTAATGAGAATCTTTTTCTTTTTTGGAGATTACTGAGGATTAATATGAAATTGTAAGTTAAGGAGAGAATTATAAACCTCAATTTGACCAGGAATGTTAACGGGTAAAGCGAGTTTGATGAGCTCAAGATCTTGACCACTGGCACGGTTAATAGTGTAACATATGGCCCCTGCGGGAACCCTCAAAACATCAAATTGCTCTAGGTTGAAAGACTCCTTGTAATTTGGAAGAACAAGAGTAACTATGGCCCTTCCTGCAATCAATCATGTTTATGTTTGGTTAGCATCCAATATATATATATGCGTGTGTATAATACTCATAATAATAAAACCAAGATGAGAGCTTTATGTACCTCTGGTGTTGATGACGAGGTACTCGGCATCGGAGTGGTGGGGCACAATGAGGGTTCCCGGTCTGGCTCTGTATTCGACGATTCGGTAGTATCGGAGCATCCGAAGGTGTGGGGACACGTGATCGAACTTTTGGAGGACCCGGATCCGACCATTTTCGTTCTCGAATCGGGTTTGGAACCTATCAGAGGGCACGTGATACGGGTTTTCTTGTTGCTGTTTCTGTTTCTCCCCTTGTCCTCCTTCTTGTGGCCTCCTTCCGGGACGAGATTGTCGTTGTGGACTTTCTTCTTGTCCTTCTTTTTCTTCTTCTTGTGGCCTCCTCCCTGGACGAGGTTGCCGGTGTCGACCTTCTTCTTGTTCTTGTTCTTCTTCTTGTGGCCTTCTTCCTGGACGAGGTTGTCGGTGTGGACGTTGTTGTTGTTGTTCCCTCTCTCTTTGCCGCTGAGGTTTCTCCTCCTCCGTCTCCTCCCCCTCTCCTTCTTCGGTCTGTCCCGGCCGCCATGGACGGCGAGGGTCAGGAAGACGTGGGTCCCGTTCAGCTGCTTCTTCCTTCTCCTCATGCCGGTCCTTCTTCGACCTGCAGTGAGCAGGGCACTGGGCATACACGGAAGGATCACTCTGAACGACACAGTTTCTCACACAGACTCGGTATTCCGAGTTCTCATCATCTTCCCAGTGGGCAAGGCCAACGGAGGCCACCGCCAGGAAAACAGAACCCAGAAGCAAGAGAACAGGAAGCCTGGCTTTGAAGCAACCCATGATTGATCACAAAACCGAACGATGTTTCCTGAAATGGAGAGGGAGATGAAGTGGGTATTTATAGAGAACAACCTGGGTTGTAATGGTGTGAGTGAGGGGAAGGTGGAAGATCATGAGGTCTGGTTTTAATGCATGGAGGACATTTGGGGCTTAGAGGGTCATGCAGCTTGACGAGTGTTGTTTCAGAAAGAGACAGAGAAATGTTTTTGCAGAGAACATGATCATCATCAGGTGGGGACGATGATGATGTGAATTAAAAGGAAGTTTTAGACACCTATAAGGTGAAGAGCACACGTGTGAGTTTGCATGCAATCGAGGTTGAAGCCTGTAAATGTGGACAAAAGAGGGTTTAGGATCCTAGCTGAAGGGGAAAGATAAAAGTGGAAGATGAAGCAGGACGGTATATAGTTCTAAGTTCTTTAATTTTGATTTTTCTTTTTCTATATAGTTACAGTATTACATGGAAGGGAGAAGAAAGGTAAGTGATCTTCCATAGGTAAGGTTTGTTATAGTCTTGAGGTAAATAAATTAATTTAAGGATGTTGGGATTTGATAAATTACTTGACAGATACATTCATTGGTTCCTTACACTGTGATTACCGGGTCATAAATGAATGTTCTTGGTCTGTTACTGTACGTTGGAGTAGAGATTTCTTTTTTTAATGAGAAAGTTGGGGTTCAGATGGTTAATAATTGATGGGCAAGCTCATCAGTTTTTTTTTAAAAAAAATATTTTAATGTTGAGGCAATTGGATGTACTTTGTTTTTTAAGTGCATCCGGAGCTAGTTTTAAATTTCCAAACTTTTTTTTTCTCTTTGTATATCTTAAAGTATTCTCAAATCACTTTAGACTTAAAACTAATTTTTGTCAAGCTAAAAGTGTTAAAATTAAAATCCTCCTAATAAGCATACTTCTAATAATTTGAATTATGTTTTTTTTTTTTTACGAGAATAAGACCATTTACTCTATCTATCAACATCTTATTGGTTAAATTTTCAAACTTTACCTAGTTACTATTTTAAGTTTGACGGCCTAAGCCAGTCTCAGAATTGAGGTATGTCTATCATAAGGCTTTTTTTAGACTATGGCTTTTCCACTAAACAGTTCGTATACTGCATAGGAAGAAAAGATAGAAATAAAATTTGAAAATGAAAATGAAAGCATTTTTTTATACTACTTCCGATTCTCAATATAAGAGTTTGTTTGATTTTTATTTTGATCCTAAATGTAAGACCCCAATCTATTTTGTCTCTCATATTTATCTATTTTTTTCAAGATAGTCATTGTAATAATAGTAGTTCTAACCAATACATTTGATTAGTAAAGATATTTTAGGAAAGACAATACCTATTTATTATAAATAACTAACTTAACTAGTTTCTTTAATCTACTTAAATTAGTCAACTAACTCTTATATTAAGGATAGGAGGCAGTATTTGATTTCTAGTCAAATTCAACTATTTAAGCACATTGTCGGGCTCATTTCTCTCCTAAAATATTTTTATTTATATGGACTCAAATTCAAAATCTTGTATTTAAACAGTCTTAACCCCCTTCAGGGCCAACGCTTACTGATAAAATTAAAGCATTTTTTGAACTTTGTACATACCTTTTGATAATGAATTCCGTTTCACTAAAAAAAAAAAATATTAAAGCATTTGTACGAAGAATTATTTTTTTAACTCAAACTTTTACCATAAGTAGTATTGATTTTTTGTACAAAATTCTGTACACAATAAAACGAAATATATTATACTCCTATTAAAAATTTTTTTGCTTCTTTCATTTTTAATTAGCTTAAACGACCGTTTTTCTTCTTCTCTCCCCCAAAAGAACCATATCAATCAAGGAGCAAAGAGTAATTTTCAAAACAAAAAAGTTATAAAATTTTTTTTCAGATTTGACCAATTTTAATGAACTTTTTAATCCTAATATTCAAGTTTTGGTGATCATGATGAACAGTTTCATGGCAGAGAGACGAGAGGTAATTGATCGATAGGTAGGGTTTTTTATCGTCTCCATTGTCTGACCTGAGGCAGAAGTTAAATTAATGTTCTGCTCCTTCTTTTTCATAACATGGAAAAAAAAATTTTCCCCCCAAAGTATAAGTATCTTCTTATTAGATGCAATTCTATTCGAGACACTATCAACACTAAATATGAATAACTCTCCTATTAGAGATTCAAACCTTGGTTCGTTAAGTTGTGAGGGATTAGCTCCTTCCGTTAAACCAAATCCCGTTGGTGATAGTTTGTTAATCCAGTGCAATTTCTTGTTACACAAATGCAAAATTTTGAAAATAGAATGTAATTATTCTGGTAAACAGGAGCCCAAAGTAAGGTCCAATATCATTCCGAAATTTGCCGTCCAAGTAGTAAGCGCAAAATTAATTTAGCCTTCCTTCAAGCAGTTATCTTTCTAAATATATTAAATTAGAAATCTATTCTTCGCCAATTAAAAATTTTGAATTAAGTTTTATGACATTAAAATTTGTTGTACTATCCCTTCTTATTTAATTAAATTAAATAAATTTTAAAATAAATAAATAAAAGTAATCATAAGTAAACGTATAAATGTTAGATACATTAACATACACACATATATTTATAATTTTTTTGCCACTCACATATATTTATAATTAACTTGTTCAAGGAATCTGTTATGAACTAAAAATATCTCAGAATTTATATCCTCTTAAAATTTGTTCATATCATGCCATTAATTTGTCAACAGGAACAGGAGCTAGTGGTCAATTTTCTCCCTTAAAAGAAAAGGAGATGGTCCCGAACAGGCCCCCCAAAAAATGGACGCAAAAGGACAAATTTATCCCAGCCCCGCCCTAAGAAGGAGGTTAGGATACAGCGTGGTCCCGGTCCCAAACAGGAAGTATGATCCACTTTCTTAAAAGAGAGTCAACATAGAGAAATGTATGAGGAAAATTGCAGAGCCAAATACCCATAACACAATTATTCTTTCCCTTTTTTAGTTTTTTTTTTTTTTCCCCCAAAAAGCAATGGCTATGACATGAAGTTATATTGAGAGGAGAAAAAATAAAGTGAAAAACCTAACTATTAGGCATATCGGCTGATAACAAATGGATGTAATTAAGAACTAGTAAGGTGCTGAAAATCAGACTAAATATTAAACCAATTAAAACAGTAGTTTAAGAGTTAGTAGTCAACTTAAATTGAAATGAGGTTAACCCAATCGTAATTAAAATAATATAATTTAATTAAAAAATATAAATATATTAATATATGGCTTTGAATAAAAAGTAATATTTAGATTATAAAAAAAAGACATTAAATAACAGGTAAATGAGATATTTATATATAAATCATATATAATCCAGAACAAAGTCATTAAATCACAAATTTGACAAACTATCATTTTTTTAAAAAACTCAAATTTTGGCATCACTTCAAGTTCAGAAAAAGGAGGCAAAAACATAAAATTTAATTTGGTTGACCCATCCAACACTCTTAACCGAATTGATTAGGAATTAGTTCACCAGTTCGCCAGTCTAACTAGCCTATCTGAGTCGAGTTTTAATAGCATGAGAATTAGAAAACTCTACATATGAGATCATACATAGTACCCTCTAATCGAATCTCTGAGGGTGGTCTCTAATATTGATGAGAGAACCGGGAGGTGATTCTTCAGGTATTCCTCAATAATTCAAGTCAGAACTTCCATAGAGTCATTGCTGACATTAATCTCAGCAATCAAATACCCCACAAATCAAAATAGATAGCTGATAATTTTCTGATGTGGATGAATTAAAAACTCACAAATTATGTTCAGTTTATATAATTTAAATTTTCTCATATACAAAATATTTATATTTATATTTAAAAAAAGTAATGTAAAATTCAATAGAATTCATCTGTGTGGGAAATTCTTCTTGAACGCGACAGAATCTATCAATTGAAACATGTTTGTTAGAAATCAAGGAATAAAAAACTAGACCAGACACTAAACCGATTGAGGTAGTAGTTCAAGGGTTAGTTGTTCGGACCAGAGTCAACTCAGGATCAAACCGGTCATATTAAAATAATATTCCTCCGGTCCTAATTATAAGACCCAATTGACTTATTTGAGGAGATTAAGGAAGTAAGTTAAGTTGGTTATTTATAATAAATAAGTGTTGTTATTCCTAAAATATCCTTGCTAATTAAGTATATTAGCTAAAACTATCATTATTAGAAGGATTATCTTGGAAAAAAATGCATAAATATAAAAGAGAAAATGGATTGGGTCTTATAATTAGGACCAAATAAAAAGTCAAATTGGGTCTTATAATAAGGACCGGAGGAGTATAATTTAATTTAATTAAAAATAACAAAATATAACAATTAATGATCACTAATAATAAAATACAAGAAAATATAATAATAGTTTGATTGTAACAATAACAAAGTACAATAACATTGAGAATTTTGATATATAAAATTTATCAATAACTAAAATTAATAATCATTGATATCAAAATTATCATTAAAATTCATTTACATCTATAGTAATTGAGATATTAAGAGCTAAATAAGAAAAAATATGACCAGTGATAACATAATTATCCAAATCAGTTTACACCGGTTTGGTTGATTCGATACCAGTTCAACAATAAAACCAAACCGAACCATTGACCAGTTTACCGATTTTCCTGTTGAACCGGTTGATTCGGTTGTTTTTTTTTTTTTTTTCCTTTGCAGAAACTCCAAAGATAAGTTGGGTTCCGTTGAGGCGCTTTCCCACAAAAACAAAGTTCAAAATGAGGGAACGTTATGCTTATTTTCTTTTTCTTTTTTTTAAATATTTTTCTTATAACCAAAATAATTTGTATTAATGATGGTCGCAAGCTGATGACACAATTTTTGGAGCATTAAGTTTAGTTTGTGTTGTATTAAATACAAATAAATGTTTGATTGTCATATATCCTTATGAGGGAAAACACAAAAGTAAAAAATAAACAAATATTTCCTTCATCTCCTCCTTTTATTTAAACAAATCGAATGCAATATATATATATATATATATATATATAATCTTTGGTCCCTCAAGTTTGCCCTCATTTTGGTTTTGATCCATCAAGTTCTAAACTATAAATTTTGGTTCTTCAAAGAGCAAATTGTCCAAATATTTATTAAATTATAAGGACTAATATTTTAAATGAGAAGAAACTTAAAGGACTAAAATTTATGATTTAAAACTTGATGGATCAAAATTAAAATAAGGACAAACTTGAAAGATCTAAAATTAAATTAACCTGATAAAAAAAGACAAGTTAAATTTAAAAACAAGATACTAATTATCATATATTTGTTGGGAGAGGCACGTTTGGTCTTCTCATAGAAATTCATCATCTCCTAAAGATTTGCCTAAAAAAAATCATAATTTTTAAATGTAATTAAATATTTTCAAAAGTATTGAGGCAATCATCTTCCCTCTAGAAATTGTGCTCATTAATTTGCAGCTTTTCTTTTCTATGAATCACGTCGGCCACATTTATAAATATTTTATGCCGTTGGGATAATAAAGCAGCCGCTAACACCTCATAGCATTCACAACTTTTGCGGTCTCTCATTAATTAATAATACAATTACAAGTATGTCCTAAGTAAAGAGGTTAATTATTAATAAGTCCTTCTTCTAACAGAATATCACAAGATGACATGGACTAAATGGTTACTCCCTCCCTCCATTTTATAAGCAACAATTACTATCCCTCTCTTATCTCTAAATATAAACAATATTTACAAGTTGTCTTAAATTTTGTAGTAAATTTTTTATTTTATCCTAATTAATTATTTATTTTAATACTCAATATATTTATTATATCATTTTTCAAACCATCGTTCTCCATTACACATTCTTTATGTTTCATAATTCTCTTTATTATAATAATTTCCTTATTCTTTCTCTTCTATTCTTTCTCCCCCATAAGTAAGGGCATTTTGGAGAAAGAATTTTTAATTTCTATACATTTATTGTCTTTAACTAATTTTAACTAACATTTTAATCTACATGATGAAGTCTAATGTTGCTTATAAAAAAGGACTAAAAGAATAACATTTAAATATAATTTGATTTATTAAGAATTAAATTTCTCATTTAGGACCTATTTATATTGTTCACTTAATCAATTCATATTTAATGAGGACAGCATTAAATTTTTTTTTTTTTAAGTTTCATAGCTTTCACAACTAAATGATGCATCTCAGCAACCACATTTAGATGAAAATAATATATAATAGATAGAAGATTACAACAAAATTATTTTACACTCATTTATTCAATTAATCACAATCTAATGTATGCTTTCTAAAGGACAATACTTACATCAAGTTATTTATATTCATTATGTCAAATTCTCAAATTACTCATAACTATATATCATATTTTTTAAAATATTAACATTTAATAATAAATTCACATAAAATTAAAAAAGACATATGACCATATGTGATTAAAAAATTTTATATAATAAATATAAAAAATTTGACTTAAGTTTTTTTTTTAAAAAAAGAAAAAGAACTTAACTCATTATTACTATTATAGTTCACTACAAAAAGCTACTAAATGATACGCTTCAAGCATTCAGCTTGGTTGATATTGTTATTCATTCTGGTAGAATAAAATAATAAATTTATAAACATGTTCATCATATAATTATTCATTAGAATTTGTGTAACAATGTCTCGTGATTCTAAGTTTAAGAAACTAAAGAAAACCCCACAACAAGTCAAAAGTTAAAAACAGGAAGAGACAGGCATGCAGGTAAATAGCACCCACTCAAGTTACCTGCCAAGCCTGGAAACTCTGTCCTTAAAACTTTTTGGTTTTAATTACCTCCAAGAATAAAATAAAATAAATTTATCTAAAAAATTAAAAAGCAAAAGGGTAAAGGACATGCATGCTAAGTATTCTATTTGGTAAAGCCCCTACCTTTATTTAATAATGGAGACAGTGACAGATAACAGAGCAGAAGAAATAAAGAAGCAAGGAAGGCCTTGAAATTCAATCATCAAAATCAATTTCTTTTTTTATTTTATTTGTTTTCTTCTTCTCATCTTCCTCCTCTTTGTACAATCCTTTTTTGCATCACTTTAACAGTCAGTATACATCAAAACTCTTTCTTTTCTTTCTCTCTTTGCATTTGAAACCCCAAAAAAAAACAAAAACAAAAACAAATCAAAAACAAAAAAGTTAGTAGTACCCAGATGATTATTCTCTCAACCATCTTTGATTTTATCCTTCATCATCATAAGTCTCTCCAAAAACAATCAAAGAATCTTGAATAAAAAAAATAGTCTTCCACTTCCTGCAGCAACACTCAGGCAAAAAAAAAAAAAAATTTATCAGCATCAGATCAAGAAGAATAACAAGAACAGCAAGTCACAGGGACTTAAAGTTAATTACTAATAATTGAAGGGACCATTTGGTTAAGAATTGAGAATGATCAAAATGCAGTACCTAATGATTATGCACTGTACTGAAGCTGGTGTGTGAGTGAGTAGTAGCTAACAAGATGATGATAAAAGAAGGTACTGCGTGGGTTAGGCAAGGCAAGGCATGACACTGTAGAGAGCAAAACTAGAGATTAGAGCCTGAAAAAGATAAAGTAAAAGTGGGAAATTTAGACAAAGAAGCTGAGAGACCAAAAAAAGCCAAAGCCAAGAAAAAAGCATATAATTCAGAAAAGAGATGAAAGAACTAACCTTTTTCGGTTTGAGGGAAATGGGTTGTCCCTATCACTCCCCTCCCTTCTATGCATGAAGTCCTCCACGATGGGGGACCAAGTTCTGAACAGTAAGTAATAGGTGCATGTAAAATTTCTGGTTTTAATTTTTATTTTAAAAAAGATGCAAGAGCAATAAGGAAAAGAACAAAAAGGACTTCAAAGCAGGAGATGGTTGAGAAGCAGACTATTGAGATTCTGCTGAGCATAACATATTCTGCAGAATACATTGATAGGCCTAACGAATTCATTAAATCAAGGTTTGCTTATGAGATATCCTTAAAAGCATGCCAAACCTACTGGGCTATTATAATAGAATATTTTTTAGGCTTTAATGTTCTCTATCATTATATTGAGACTCACATTAATTCTTTTCAAGAGCTTCAGAATCTTGTACTTTTGGTCTAACCATCAGGGAAATAAAAGGTAAAAAAAAAGCCGGGTCTAGGTAAGAGAGTGACCACTAATGATCATTTTCAGACCTAAAAATACAAAAGCTCTCATACGTTTTGGCTTTGTTATCTGTTACTATGTGCATGAGCTTGACAGGAAAACAAAACATCCCAATCATTTACACTCTCCTGAGGAGCCCAAGTTTTTAAAAGTAAATGGTAAATTGAAAGTTTGGGATTGTGATCATGGATGAGGGAGAGTAGAAGAGAGAGCTTACTTGTATACAAATGAACCTATCTCATGTCAAGGCCCTCCTTTCCTTTAGAAGAAGTTTAATTCAGTATATCCGTGGGAATATGGCAGAAGTTCTTCAGCCTCAATCCGAGAACGAGAACAACTCATACTTTTCTTCAATTTTCCATGACTTGACTCAACTTCAGCCCAAAAGATGCCGTAAACAGGTCTATGATCAGAAAACTTGGACTCCCCACGAACATAAGACGACTGATGGAGACCTTCTCCATACCACAAGATGCGATCACACCTAAATGAAAAAAAAATAGTTTTATTGGCATGAGATGTAAAAATTTTAAAAACTTATACCCCAATAAACAACAAACTTCATGCTAGATGTTTTAGCATCTAATTATATTTTATTTTCTCATCATATAACAAGAAGCACTTCTCATTTGTTATGTATTTCTGCTAAATTCCCATTACTTTTTGTTTGAATGATGTTCTTACCAAGCAGGTGTTCGCCTTTTCTCCTTAGGGTGCATATCATCGCCTGCATATCTGTCTGAATTAGTTGAATACTTATATGTTGGAGGGAAATATATCTTCCCTTCATTCCATCCCACAAATACTCGACCTCTTCTCTGCTCTATTCTCAACTGCAAGCAATGTCAATCCATATCAAGGTTAATTTCATTTGTTATATTATGCAACTGTACTGTCTAATGCAATAATTTAACCAGTAGTGAGAATATATAGACATACCTGGTCACTCTCCAACAATGCTCTCCAGTTTTGCATCTCAACAAGTGCCTTAGCAGATCGCTCAGGGAGGGCAATCCGGTAATTTAGATCTCCAAGCCATATAATTCGACTGCACATGGATTATTTAGAATTAGAAATAGAATTCATTATGCAATCATGCTTTTAAAGGGCTTAAGCATTTGGGGGAAATATGAGAAAGTTACATACTCATGCTGAAGGATTGTCTCTGGAGACTTCTCAGTGTCGCCATTAACACGGGGAAACCTTGTTTTTTTAAGAATCTCCATCACATCAGAATTTCTTCTCAGTTCATCACCCTCTTTCTGTCCTGAGGTTAAATGAGTACAAATAAAGCAAAAGCTAGTTTCGTGCAGAGACATACTAATTGAGATGGATCCCTGCAAATATAGGCGGAAGAACTCTTCTTAAATTCAGTTTCAAGTAATCCACATTTTCATAATGAATAAAAATAACAATACATAAAAAGTTAGGACTATCAACAATTGACTATCGAATTACCTTATTTCCAAAATACCCCATCAATCCTCTGCCAACACATGATACTTTCATGTTTTTAACATGATCTTTCAGTTCACTTCTCACCCATATGGTAAGAAATATTCCTACCATTTGCTTGCTTGCGACAAGACAGTACCTTGAACCCCCTGGCATTCCATACCCATCTTCACTGGGGGTAGGTCCACCATAAGACACTGGTGAAAACAGAACTGTACTTGGTGAATCCCCAAGACCATTATCATCATCAGATGAACCCCATCTCGAATAGTCACTTGGTCTGGAATAGTCACTTGCCCGGGAATAGTCACTAGGTCTGTAACCCCATCTAAAACTGGGATCAAAGTCACTAGGCCTGTGACCAAAAATCACCCGATCACAGACACTGTATCTTCGATCTAGTCGTGGCTGCCCAATCATAGGATCATTGTCCATACCCCAGCCACTAGAAGTTGTTTGGAAAGACCGGCGATGGAAGAAAGATGAATTTTTCTGCCTAGCTGATCCCTCAAAGTCTGCATTCAACTCTACAACAGGCTTAGGAATGGGAGATGGTGTATAACATGCACTACCTCCACTAGTACCCGGAAGGTTGTTTAAAGTTTTTCGAATTAGAGCCATCCATTTTTTAGCCGGGCCATTGTCCTCTGACCCCAGAATATTACCAGCATTTAAGGGAACAATCTCTTGAAATCTGAATAGAAAGGTAGAAATTTGTCAATATGAAATCATTAATACATGTCTTGAATTTAAAGATGTTGACAAGTACCACATTCCTACCCAAGAACGTAAATATCTGCAGGTGGTGAGGCATGGAGCCAGTCATCTAAACACATATTACTTGGTGGGGATCTTCCAGCCACATTCCATGTTGCAACAAACATGCTACTCAGAAGAAAGAAGAACAGAATCAACCATGAGAGATTGAATGCAGCAAAGAGGATTTTCAATTGAAAAGAAACGGATCAAAGAATATATATATATATGTATGTACCTATAGTTCTGCACATCTATGATTCTTGGATGGTCAAGATTCATTCTTCGCCTCACCTGTTCGGTGCCCCGGCTAAATTTCTCTGTTCAACAGAACACGGTTAAAAGGATTTGAAATAATAACTGGAAATTTTTTAGGCTATAGAGGGAATCTGTACCTGTTTTGCTTTTCTTGATTGTACATGGCTCTCTCTCAGAGAAGCTACTCCTGCTTCTGTAATCTACGTCACTTCCTGAAGAAAGCAAGCACGGTCAATACATAAAATTCAAAGCATAAAATCAAAAGATGTATCCATGAAACAGCCAGAGAACGAAATTGACTATCAAACATAAGATAAGGAAGAATGAGTTCAAATAAATTCACACTTTGTTTGCATACTAAGAAAGGTAAAAGGTAAAAACAAATTGGAGAACATAATAAATCAGAGTAGACTCACAGATGACAGGCAAATTGGACTACTTTGAAGCTAATTTAAAGTTGGCCAAACTAAATCTTTTAAATTAGATAACAAAAAGACAGAAAAAAGCCAAAATCAGCCAAAACTTGATGATTTATGCTACGTTTTGTGTCCTTTCTAGGCGATTTTCTTTGTCTAATTTGCTCGGTTTCTCCGAAACCAAAAGGAACCTGGGAATACACAAGGCTTTTGCATTGTGTGATTGAAGTCTAAGAACATTGTTCTGCGAAATTGACTCTAGTCTGTTAGAAAATGGTCAATCAACCTTTCAAAAAGTTGAATTCTGAAGAAAACACAGAAACCCACCTCCATAAACACGACCATCGGGTTGAAATTCTTCAGGTTTGCTTTTGATATTGAAGAACTTCCTGACCATTTTCTTGGACCATGAGAGCTTCAATCATCAAGCAAGCAAATCAACAAACAGTCAGTAAACTCCTAAAAAAATTGAAAGATGAAAGTAATTCGCCTTCTAGAAGAGAAGAGCAGTGAGAAACAAAGAAGAACCTTGCTTTTCTTTGAATTCCCATCTCTCATTGTTAAATTTCTACTTCATACAGCTCTTCAGCTCCAATGCAAAGTATGGTTCTGCTATTCCTGGGTTTCTAGGTATCACTGGGAGTTACCCAAAATTTTTAGAAATTCAAAAAACAAAATCCCTTTCTCCAGTCTCCTGCTTCTCTCCCTTTCGAGCTCTGAGACAAGAATACCCACATTTGCCGCTCTAGTTCGCAAATTCTTAGAGCTCTCACCACCTTGAGAAATCAGTTCAGAAATGGCTCAGCTCACAACCCAAATCGGTAAATACCAAATGACAAATGGGTTTTCCTTCTTTGCTCTTGCCGGTGCTAAGTATGGCAGCCACGCTATAAAATGCAGGAACTAGGAAGCAAAGAAGCGAACACTTCAGTAAATATGATGAAAGAAAGCGCGAGGCTGAGAGAGAGAGAGAGAACACTTTGATGCGTGGAAGTGAGATGAGATTCTGAAATAGAACAAGACAATGTGGGAGACATAAACATATAGAGAGTGAGAGAAAGAGGAGAGAGAGGTTCAACTTCTCTTTCTCTGTCTTCGGAAACAAAAGAGAGCCTCCTCGTTCTCTGTAACAAACAGCAAAGTATCGAATTTGAACGGAATAAAGCGCAGCATAGCGAATGGGAGAGAGAAAGAAAGAGAGAGACTGTGGGTGAGAGAGAGAGGGAGACGAGCTTTAGTTTTTTTCCAATGAAGTTTTTGTTTTTGTTTTTTCATTTTTTCCTGTAATCTTAACCTCAGCTAATAAAGACAAACCCAACATGACGGGGCAACGGGCAGGTCGTTTAGCTTTAACGCCTGAACGCTAAACGACCCGGTCAGCAGGAACAAAGGCTGCCCCCAGTCAGCAAAGTGAGAGAGAGATCCAGCAGTATCCTATATGGCTGTTTTCTTCTTCTTCTCCTTCAGCATTCCGGTCTTCCAATCAAAGCAAAAGACTAAAAGCAGCTAAAGAATTAGCAAAAGCTAAAGCGAATATGTATATACACTTATATCAGACATGTCATCGTACTCTCTCTCTCTATCTCTTTTTCCTATGTATATACACTATTTAATCATTCGTTTCATCTTTAGTTGGGGCAAGGAATGTTTGGAAGAGAAGCTACTATTATTTGTGAGATGGCTAAATCATGGGTATGAATATGACAACTTATAGAATATAATTGAATCTCAAGCAAAACAACAAAAAAGTTTCAATTTTTGGGAATATGAACCCTATCAAAATCTTGTCTTTCCTAGATATATGTACATAAGCACAAATACATACATACATATAGTTTTTCTCATTTATGTTTACAGAGCAATGTGTTAGGTTAAGTGAGTGATTGATGATTACTGGTGAATCAGTATATAGTGCCATGGAAGGTAGGGTTTTAGGATATTGAGGGGAATACTTTTGATGGATTTGTGGAATGTCATTGTTCATGTCCTTTGACATAAGGGCAGGCTGCCCAATTTTGAGGTGCTGGGGCTTCTCTGTGTTTCTCAGCTTTTAATTAGGGTCTTATCTGTTGCCTGCTTTGAGGGATTCTTTAATGCCTCATTATATGCAAATTGGTTAGAGAGAAATATGCAGGCATTTTAGGAGCTAGCTTCCTGTTACTTTGAAATTTCTCTTTTGCCTTTTTTGGGTGAGTGGATGGATAGAGAGATTTTCTCAACATTTTATATTATTTGGTTTGTTTGGGATTTAACTTTATTAGCTGTTTAAATTATTATTGCTGATTTATTTTCCTTTCTTTGTGCTAATATAAGGAGTAGATCAAGTCAGCAGCAAAGAATATTTTCCCCAACTATTTATTTAAGTGACGAGAACTACTCTGCCACAGGCATACCAACTTGAATCCGTCAAGTATCACTAATTTTACATTTTGATTTTAGGGTATGATGTTTAATGTTTAGTAATATACTAATATGAGCTCAAATTTAATCCCTCCATGTTATTTAAGAAAAATCAACGAATTTGTAATCTGACCATTGATATAGGCTACTTAATGTGAGATGTTGTTGGATAATTTCAATTTTATTAAAAAAAATTTACTGATTTAATTATTACGTGAACATGATAGTAATATTATTCATCAAAAGAGGTTAACAAATTTGAATTATAAAATATTAAATCTAAACCATTTATTTTTTTAATTTAATGGTGTAGATGGGACTTTCAGAAGAAAAGGAGAGCGAGGATTCTGAAAATATCTCCCTCCATGAATGATGACTTTATCGACCTAAGCTCACTAAATCCTAGAGAGTTGTTGCCCAAAAAAATTCAGAAATTTCAGGGGAAAAGTTATCAAATAAACTCGAGCATATGTTAAAGACAAGACTTTCAAAAATTAAATGGGAAAAACTGAAAATTATTGCCACTAATAAACACCTCATTAATTTTTTTGAAAAAATAATTATTAAAGAGATATTCTAATGATGAAAATAATTAAACATAATAATTATATAAGTATCACTACTTCTATTTCTAATTTAAATCTCATTCATCATCCCAAAAAGCATCTGAACTCTCACTTCCATCATAAGAGAGGATCCAAATTCACCTTTTTTTCTTCTTTTCCTTTCTTATAATTGAGTTATAACTCACTTATTCTTTTATAAACGGAATGCCCACAAAAAAAATAAAAAAGAAAAAGAATTTAGAATGTTTGAAGAAGAATATATTTGATTATGAGTAACTTGGAGCCTCTCAGGTATGAACCTCAAGCCACGCGCCGCCCCCATTCTACTAAGTTTGAATAATTCGTATAATGAAACATTCCCAAAGCAAAGTCTCTGCCTTTTCGGCTTTGCCTTTGGCTCCCAAGTTTGAACTCCTCATTGACCATCACTGTTTTAAATATATATATATATATATATATGCTTTGTTACTATATTTATATACTTTACATTGTATATTATATTATTATATATATTCATATATATAAATATCGTACCTTTGAAGCATGTTTTTTCTTCCCTTAATTTTTCACAAATATTGGTACCTTTGGCTCCCAAATTTGTTTTTCTTTGGGTCGGCGTGAAAAGGCTTAAAGCAACAATTTTTTTTCTTTTTTATAAACCGTAAGTATATGTAGATATAGCAGTCGTCGCAGTTCAAGGGTCTTGTTTTGTGGGATGATATATTTATGTATTTGATATGTTTGTAGTGATGATGATTCATGCTGGGGGCCTGAGATTAGCAAGAAAAAAAACACAATTATACAATATAATTAAGGAAGATTCGAAGGACTTAATAAAAAAGGTAATGAGCTGACGGCGCAATTAATACCACAATTTGGCGCATATGACCATTTTTGAAAAAAAAAAATAGAGAAGAAAATAAATTATATTCGATCACCTTCCAATGACCAAAAAAGTCTTTATATATATATATATATATATATATGCGCCCTTAAGCAGATTCATAAAAGCCCACTAAGCAGTGTCTGGCTGTATTTAGTCTCATGATTGCCAAGCAGGTCCCAAAGCAAACAATAAAGGGAGATGAATAGTAGTTTAGGGCTTTAATTTTCTCATACTTTAATGAATACCAACACCATTAACATTCCCAATTAATTAAAAACCATATGCACTGCCATTACTTATTTAGGAGAATCACACAAAGATCCCCCTAAAATTTGTTAATAGCAAATTAAGATCACTTATTTTCACTTTGTTCTTATAATAACTTTCTTGAAAATACATTTCTTCGTGAAATGATTTTACTGCTCTTATGTAAAGAAAATAGTATTAAGAGAATAACCTCCGATATACTACCTCTGGTCCTTAATATAAAACTCTATTTGACTTTTATTTTAATCCTAAATATAAGACCCTAATACACTTTGTCTCTCATATTTATACATTTTTTTTCAAAGTAGCCCTTCTAATAATAATAGTTCTATTAAATACACTTGATTAGCAAGGATATTTTAAGAAAAATAACATCTATTTAGGACATATAACTAACTCAACTTACTTCCTTAATCTTCAAATTAGTCAACTGGCTCTTATAATTAGGACCGGAGGTAGTATAACCTAACAATAATCAAATGTATTAATGTGATCCAATAATACCATGTGCCATATGAACGGATAAAAAGATAAATCTTATAGCTTAATTATAGGTCAAATTAAAGTAATAACAATCATTAATTAATTAGTTGAAGTACACACAAATTAACCAGACATTCTTTTCAACCTTTGAATCAAACTGATGCTCAATGGTTTATATATTTTTATATAATAAAGGAAGGTCTAATCAAATTTTTGGAATGGAACAGCCCTGCAAAAATAGAAGCATAATTAACGGTTGAATTAATTAGAAGCTATATATGAGATACTTATAAGGAATATATATATATATATATATATATATATATAGCTCCAAGTTGAACCCTTTTGATGACATCTCAAAGACATGAGTAATGAGTGGACTTCCATAATGATCAAATCAAGCTTATCTCATCAGCTTCCTCAACATGTGCAATCCCTAGCAATGAAGGTGATGAAGATATATGTGCATTATATATATATATATATATATATATATATGCTTTTCCTTTTGTTTTTGTGCAGGAATTTTAGGACTAGGGCTTAACCTAATCATACGTGTCCTTAAAGTGTGGGACTGAGAATGATTATGCGGGAATGAGAGAGATGGAGAAAATTAAAGAAGCATGCATTGCACAGTCCAATGACCGATATATATATAAAACTCACAAAAGTGAATGTGTGTGGGACCCATCTTTGGTATTTGCAGAGATCTAAAGTTAAAAGAAGACATGTGTGGCCCTACAAAAGCACCAACTCTTCGTATATATAATAGTAATAACTAATAGTAATAATATATTAAACGTCTTTGACAATATATGATCTCCACGGTATCATTTTCTCGACATTTCTCTTCATATACGAGGGACCAATACAATCCAAGAAGAAATATTAATATTCCTACATCAGAAAACAAAGTAAAAATTTTTTTTTAATTACTTGACTCATTTTCATTCCATATATTCATGAGTAGCATTGTCTTATGATTTCTTTATATGTGATTAATGGGTTTAGGGTTTGTAAGTATATGTCAAGTTTTTTTTTTTTTTTTTTTTACATTGGGTGAAGAAGGATTTAATTTTCCAATAATCTTGTTTCTATACGAGTCCATCTCCTTAGTCTTTTAAGTCATCTTTCTACTTATATACCTTTTCATTCGTCCAATTATATCTTTTATAAGCTCTTTTTTTTTTCCCCTTGTATTAAATCGATTTCACTCGCATCTAGTTTCTTATTAGTTTTCTTTTCAAATATGAGTTCAACACGGACATGAAATTAAACTCCTTTTAAATACTTACTTCATAAACCATAAAATTGTTTTTAAAATTATCATTTGGTTTTCACCCAAAACATTCCCATACATTAATGTTTTTAATTGCATATTTGAAAAATAGTGTATTGAAAAGAGTGTAGAAAAAATCCAGTTTGTATTTGACAAATATATATATAGAGAGAGAGAGAGAGACGAAGAATCAAGAAGAAGATGTAGCAAAAGAATTAAGC